AAAAAAAATAACAGATGCTCACAAGGTTGTGAAGAAAAAGGAATGCTTGTCCACTGTTGATGGGAGTGTAAATTAGTTCAGCCATTGTAGAAGGCACTGTGGTGATTTCTCAAAGATCTAAAGATAGAGATACCATTCAACCCAGCAATCCCTTTACTAGGTATATACCCAAAGGATTATAAATCATTCTATTATAAAGACACATACATATGTATGTTCATTGTAGAACTATTCACAATAGCAAAGACATGAAATCAACCTAAATGCCCAACAATGATAGACTGGATAAAGAAAATGTGGTACATATACACCAACGAATACTATGCAGCCATAAAAGATGAAATCATATCCTTTGCAAGGACACAGATGGAGCTAGAGGCCATTATCCTTAGCAAACTGACACAGGAACAGAAAACCAAATACCACACGCTCTTACTTTTAAGGGGAAGCTAAATGATGAGAACACATGGACACAAAGAGGGGAACAACTCACACTGAGGCCTTTTGAAGGGTGGAGGGTGGAAGGAGGGAGAAGATCAGGAAAAATAAGTAATGGAGACTAAGCTTAATCTGTAGGTGATGAAATAATCTGTACAATAAACCCCTATGACACAGGTCTACTGATATAAAAAACCTGCACTAGTACCCCTGAGCTTAAAATGAAATTTAAAAAATAAAAAAGAAATAATAAAGATCAGAGTAGAAATAAATGAAATTGAAATAAAAAATACAAAAAAGTCAATGAAACAGTCCAGGCATGGTGACTCACGCCTGTAATCCCAGCATTTTGGGAGGGGAGGATCACGAGGTCAGGAGATTGAGACCATCCTGGCTAACACGGTGAAACCCCATCTCTACTAAAAATACAAAAAAATTAGCTGGGCATGGTGGCAGGCACCTGTAGTCCCAACTACTTGGGAGGCTGAGGCAGGAGAATGGCGTGAACCTGGGAGGCGGAGCTTGCAGTGAGCCGAGACTATGCCACTGCAGTCCAGCCTGGGCAATAGAGCAAGACTCCATCTCAAAAAAAAAAAAAAAAAAAAAGGAACAACAACAACAACAACAAAAATCAATGAAACAAAAAGTTGGTTTTTTGAAAAGTTCAACAAAATTGACAAACCTTTATCCAGACTAACTAAGAAAAAAAGAGAGAATATCTAAATAAATATAATCAGAGGTGAAAAAGACATTACAACTGATACTACATAAATTCAAAAGAACATTACTGGCTACTATAAGCTACTGTATGCCAATAAGTTGGAAAATCTAGAAGAAAAGGACAAATTCCTAGACACAACGAACCTCGTTCAAGATTGAACCAGGAAAAACATCCTGAACCTGAACAGACCAATAACAAGTAATGAGATCAAAGCTGTAATAAAGTTTCCCAGTAAAGGAAAACCTGGGACTCAGTGGTTTCACTGTTGATTTCTACTGAACATTTAAAGAAAAACTAACCAATCCTACTTAAATTTTTCCAAAAAATAGAGGAGGGAACATTTCCAAACTCATTCTATGAGGCCAGTATTACCCTGATACCAAAACCAGACAAAGACACATTAAAAAAAAAAAAAAAGAAAAGAAAAGAAAACTGCAGACCAATATCTCTGATGAACATTGGCACAAAAATCCTCAATAAAATATTAGCAAACTGAATGTGACAATACATTAGAAAGGTCATTCATCATGAACAAGTGGGATTTATCCCTGGGATGCAAGTATTGTTCAATACATGCAGATCAATCAATGTGAAACATCATATCAACAGAATGAAGGACAAAAACCATGTGATCATTTCAATTGATGCTGAAAAAGCGTTTGATAAAATTCAACAACTATTCATGATTTAAAACTCCTCAAAAAACTATGTATAGAAGAAACATACCTTAACATAATAAAAGCCATATACAACCCACAGCTAATATCATACTGAACAGGGAAAAACTGAAAGCCTTTCCTCTAAGATCTGGAATATGACAAAGATGCCCATTTTCACCACTGTTATTCAATGTACTACTGGAAGTCCTAGCTAGAGCAATTAGACAAGAGAAATAAATAAAGGCATCCAAATTGGAATGGATGAAGTTCATGTTATCCTTGTTTGCAGATGACACAATCTTTTATTGGAAAAACCTAAAGACTCCACCAAAAAACTATTAGAATTGATAAACTCAGTAAAGTTGCAGGATGGAAAATCAACATCCAAAAATCAGTAGCATTTCTGTATGCCAATAGTGAACAATCTGAAAAGAAATGTTTAAAAGTAATTCCATTTACAATTGCCACAAATAAAATTAAATACCTAGGAATTAAGCAAAGAAGTAAAAAATATCTCTATAATGAAAACTATAAAACACTGATGAAAAACATTGAAGAGGACACCAAAAAATGGAAAGATATTCCATGTTCATGGATTGGAAAAATCAATATCATTAAAATGTCCATACAACCCAAAGCAATATACGGATTCAATGCAATCCCTATCAAAATGCCAATGACATTCTTCACAGAAATAGAAAAAACAATTCTAAAATTTATGTGGAACTGCAAAAGACCCAAAATAACCAAAGCCATGCCTAGCAAAAAGAACAACACTGGAGGAAACACATTACCTGACTTCAAATTATACTACAGAGCTATAGTAACCAAAACAGCATGGTACTGGCATAAAAACAGACACATAGACTAATGAACCACAATAGAGAACCCAGAAACAAACCCACATGCCTATAGTGAACTCATTTTTGACAAAGGTACCAAGAACATACACTGGGGAAAAGACAGTTTCTTCAATAAATTGTGCTGGGAAAACTGGATATTCATATGCAGAAGAATGAAAGTAGGTCTGTATCTCTCACCATACACAAAAATAAAATGAAAATAGATTAAAGACTTAAATCTGAGACCTCAAATTATGAAACTACTACAAGAAAAAAATGAGGAAAATCTCTAGGACACTGGTCTGGGGAAAGATTTCTTCAGCAATACCCCACAAGTACAGGCAACCAATACAAACACTGACAAATGGAATAACATCAAGTTTAAAAGCACAGCAAAAGACACAATCAACAAAGTGTAGAGACAGCCCACGAAATGGGAGAAAATATTTGCAAACTACCCATCTGGCTAGGGATTAATAACCAGAATATATAAGGAGCTTAAACAACTTTATAGGTAAAAATTTAATAATCCAATCCAAAAATGGGCAAAAGATTTGAATAGACATTTCTCAAAGGAAGACATACAAATGGCAAACAGGCACGTGAAAAGATGCTCAACATCACTGATCATCAGATAAATGCAAATCAAAACTACAGTGAGATATCATCTCACTCCAGTTAAAATGGCTTATATCCAAAAGACAGGCAATAAAAATGCTGGAGAGGATATGGAGAAAAGGGAACCCTCATCCACTGTTGGTAGGAATGTAGATTAGTACAACCACTATGGAGGACAGTTTGTAGGTTCCTCAGAAAAAAAAAATGTATATATAGAGCTACCATATGATCCAGCAATCCCACTGCTGGGTATATACCCAAAAGAAAGGAAATCACTAAATCAAAGAGATATCTGCACTCTTTTGTTTGTCGCAGCACTGTTCACAACAGCCAAGATACGGAAGAAATCTGTGTCCATCAACAGATGAATGGATAAAGAAAATGAAGTACACAATAGAGTACTATTCAGCCATTAAAAAAAAGAATGAGGTTCTGTCACTTGCAACAACATGGATGGAACTGGAGATTACTATGTTAAGTGAAATAAGCCAGGCACAGAAAGATAAACACTGTATTTCTCACTTACGTGTGAAATTTAAAAATCAAAACAATTGAACTTATGGGCATAGAGAGTAGAAGGATGGTTACCAGAGGCCGGGAAGGGTAACCGGGGGAGATGGGGATGGTTAATGGGTACAAAAATAATAGTTACAAAGAATGAATAAGACAAATAAGACCTACTATTTGATGGCACAATAGGATGACTATAGTTAATAACAATTTAATTTTGTATTTTAAAATAACTTAAAGAATATAATTGGATTGTTTGTAACACGAAGGATAAATGCTTGAGGGGATGGATACCCCATTCTCTATGACATGATTATTATTCATTGCATGCCTGCATCAAAACATCACATGCACATCCTAAATATATACACCTACAATGCACCCACGAAAATTTAAAATTTCATTTATTTTAATTTAGGTTGGTCATGTGATCTAAACAAGCATGGGAAGCTGTCAGGGGCAGACAAGAGGCATCACTGCGGAAGTGTGAAGCCAGTATTTTTCCAGACACACAGAAGTTGGTCAGAACTAGCACTGGTTTGAGGATTTATTTTTTCTTTTTCTTTCTTTTTTAATAGATACAAGGTTTCACCATGTTGCCCGGGCTGGCCTTGAACTCCTGGGCTCAAGCCATCTGCCTGCCTCAGCCTCCCAAAGTTCTGGGATTACAGATGTGAGCCACCGTGACTGGCCGGGTTTGAGGATTTCAATTATATAATGATAAAAACCTGGCTATTTGTCTTAGATTGGACTATATCTCAGCACAAACTCAGGCTATCACGTCAGCTGCTCTGGCTGTGAGTACAGAAGCAGGCTGGCTGCCCACATGTCTGCATTCCCTGGTCACACTGCCCACTCCTGTTTTTGCTGTCTTTGGCCTTCTAGAGAATCATCTGCTCCAAGGTTAAGTTTATCCCAGGAGATGCGTGAAAAATGCCCAGAGTCCTCAAGTGAAATAGGGACATCTATCTATTCAGTCCCAACTTGACCCCTTCCCACCCACACCTCCCGGATTATATGGGCTATACCAGGAGTGTCCACTCCAGAAGTCCTATTGCCTCCCGTCCTTGGCCCAGTCGCCTGGAAACATGAGAATGTATCCACCTTCAAGCCAATGACATTCAGCCTTGTTCTAGGATTCCAGGGGTCCTACGACCTTTCTATTATTCCCCTTTCTGCCTTGTCCCATAAAGAGAAGGGAAATGTACACACCCGCAGGCTAAGCTCCACGTTCTCTCCTCCATAGATGAGCATTCCACCATCCAGAGACCCGATCTCTCCCAGGAAGTGCCTGTCAGCAGCCAGGATGCCCATGATTGAAGGACTCCTACAGAGCACACAGCAAGAGTCATTAATCTCTCCACGAGGAGCGGAGGCGAGGGGTGGGATGCTCAATGAGTATTTGGGCTTCAGAACTCTACCCAAGTCTGTTCTTATCATGAAGGCCCTCCCTAAACTCTCAGGCTGGACTAAGCGCATGCAGCTTTCCCTGGCCCACTGTGTTATCATAACCCTTCTCAAAATATATTGAAATTACATCTTTTTCACCTAGGTATCCTTACTTCATAGCCAGTTAATGCTTGAAATGGCCAAAATATTTTCCAAAGTTTTAAATATTTTGCTTGATTTTTGCCTGAAAGTCCCTAAATATCCCAAAGTGTCTGTGATTTCTTAACTAGGATGACTTCTATCCCGTGTCCTTCACTTCATCCCCTCCCCTCCTTCCACGTCACCCCAAGTACTACCACCAAAGATAAACAAAATCCATGCAGTTCATTCCTGCCTTCCCACGTGCTTCTCAAGTTCCCTGAACCTCCTCAGACTTACTTCACTGGGGCAGTGACATCATGCCGATCAATCCAGGCTTGTGGCAGTGCATCGTAGCGGCACCAGAGTTCCCAGTTAAACCCATCAACTGCCAGTTCATACTTATCCAGTTTGAAGGTGTCAAAACGAATGTTGTCAAACACAGGAGACACAATCACGGTGCGGTCTTCCTGAATCCGAGCCAAGATTGGCTCTGCCCTAGAAGAGTGTGCAGCAAGCCCAGCTTGTGTATGAGGACAAGCAGTAGGAGACAGCAGATAAAGCTGTTTCAAGCACCTTGCTATTATTGCCCTGACATTGAGTACCTCCTCCATTTAGGCTGTGCTGGGTTGTGAGTAGAACTCTCCAGAGTCCAGAGAATCTCTGTACCTTTCGGGATAGCTGAAGCTGCTAGCAGCCAACCCGCGTCAAGAACAGGTTTGAAATTAGTACCCAAGTAGCACCCCCAGGCCGTTGTGAAGCAGCATTATCAGTATGTATATTACTCCTTGAATTTACGTTATCTCTTGGTTCTCCCTGTTTCCAAGATGATGCTTCTTTCCTGTCTGACTCTCCACATTCTCTAAAGAACATAGTTCTCTTTATTTTATTATGTAATTTCAGGGCTGGGGAAAAAACCTTTAAAATAACCAAAGGCTAATCTCCTCATCTTTACAGTTAAAGACACAATGTCTAGTTAAGTGAAGTGACTTACTCAAATTCACAAAGTATTTGGCAAAGTCAGAGTTATGATCCAACTGTCAATACTCTCCACCATGCTACTTCTCTTAGCCAAGCAAAATGCCTGCATAAAAGCATGCTCCTTTGGAGAGTCCCTTTATTTAAGGCCCGGTGCTGACTTTACCCATGTCCACAGTATCCTGTCCTGTGTTCTGTACATGCACAATGTCTCCTCTCTGCCCTTTCCAGAAGAATCAGCCTCTTTGAGCCTTACCACCCAACATTGACTTCAATGTGAGCATCCAAGATGGCGACCACGTCTGCTGTGGCAGCTTCCCAGCCAGTGTTGCGGGCTTGAGCAAGACCTTTCCTCTCAGGATGCCGTATTATTTTCAGTAGTCCTGGACACTTCTGGTTGTAAAGCTTAATCTTCTCATCCAACTGTACCTTTATTTCTCCTGTCAATCAAGTGCACACCTATAGCAATTCTGAGTGCAACAATCAATGTGATACAAAAGTTTTATACTATCATATAATCGTGACTGGACTACCTCCAGCCTAAAATGGGCAATTCTAAGAGTTAGCTAGAAAATAAGTCGTATTTCCCCTGCACCTGCCTGTCTTCTCCCTTTCACCTGAGGTGTACTGTGATCATTCCTAATTTCCTTTCCCTCACAGTTAAACTATCTTAGAATGATAGTACTGCTTACTACATGTCAGGCACTGTTATAAGTGCTTTTTCACATTGAGAAGTTCTTGAGAGAATGAGTAGGACAGATCTAGCCCAAGGTGCACACGTTGATGGAAAACACTGCAGGAAGGCCTGGAACATCTTCATAGCTAAACTCTCAAGACTCTAGAGAATCCATAAATGACGAAAATTGTTTTGTTTTGGATATTCCCAGTTGACCTACTTAAGGACCAACTGGGACAGAATGCACAGATTAATCTCTTTGCCAGCTTCTAGCTAGTAAATTTAGCCCAAAAATTACGCAAACAAGATTCACTATTCCCAGATTGTTTTCAGGTAGTTTTCTTCCCTCTCTTTTAATAAAGCTTGTCTGTGGCTTTGTTCTTGGGCTCAGCCTACCGCCGACTTCCTCACGTGTAAGAAAACAACTTTCATGCAAATCACTGAACCGTATGCAAAATATCTAACCAAATGACTCTGAGTTACTCGTTGATAAAATTTAGTTAATTCTGAAAGTATCTCATGTGGTCGGCACTACAATATCCCCACTTTACAGATAAAGAAACTGAGGCACAAAGAGTTTTAAAAACTTTTCCAAGTCACATATCTAGTAAGTGGTATGCCCTGGATGTGAACCTATGCTGTGTTTAGCCACCAGAACACACTGTCTCAAGAACTCTGTGAGTATCTGGCTGGGTTTATTAAGTCCTCCCTCCCTCTCCTCTCCTCTCTCCCCATAGCCAAGGAATGAGGTTCTTGCTGGTTCCTCTCGCAAAAGAAGAGCATATTCGTGAGACTCAGAGTGATCAAGACCTGGAATCAACACCTAAGTGACTGTGGCAGTAAAATTTACCCCATTTTAGATCTGCTGCACTCAGGAGTGATTGTCTCAGTTACTGAAGGTGCCGAGCAGAGCCGGTACATCTAAGGCTGTTGGCTTCTTCTGGGAGTGAGCTGGGGTAGCCAAGGTGGCCAGTCTGTACACCTACCCAGGCACTACTTTTAGTCAGTAATCCACAGGAGGTGCCACTGAAGCTGAATATCTAGATGCTAATTCAGTCACTACATCATTCTGTGTCACTTCCCATTGGATGTGTCTGTTTCCTCAACTTAGAGAAAAGTACCATAGTGGGCACGGTGGCTCATGCCTGTAATCCCAACACTTTGGGAGCCCGAGGCAGAGGAGTGCTTGAGCCCAGGAGATTGAGACCAGCCTGGGCAACAGAGTGAGATTCTGTTTCTTTTTCAGAAAAAAAAAATATATATATATTTAAGAAATTCAGGAAAGGTACCAGATAGTCTGGACCCTTCCAACTCCAAATTTTTATGAGCCATAGATTCTGAGTCACCTCCTGAAAAATAATGCCTATCATATAGCACAAAAGTTAAGGACGCCTCAATGGGTTTTCTGAAGACAACCTATGCTCCCTTCCCAGCTTTGCCCTCCTACTGGTCTCCTCCCCAAAACCTGTTACTTCAAGCTGGTCAGCTCAGGGTGCTTCTGGATTCCTCATTTGTGTTCACACCTTTCTTTCGGCACTCCCTAGTTCTCCACCCCAACCCAGTTTCCAGGTCTTCCCTCATTTTCTCTGCTGTCTCAAATCCTATGAAGCCTTCAAGTCCCAATCCAAGCCTGCCTCCTCCAGGAACCCTTCTTAGATCATCACACCCCCCCACCCCTACACCACGCTTTCTTTTGCTGACAGTTCACTCGGTTTGTCACATTATTCTTCACACACTGAAGTATCTTTCCACAGATGTGTCTTGCTTCATTAAGATGGAAACTTGAACTCTCTGACATCCTCTTCCCTGCCCACTGCCTGGCACATGGTAGAAACTCAACATGTAGTTGTTGATTGTGAAATGTTCCTAAAATTAGGAAGAAAATACAGCAATCCATCTACCTTGATATAATTTTTTAAAAGCTTACACCTCATCTAACATTTGAGTGACATTTAACATGTAAGCTCAAAATATTTGAGTGACATGAATAAGCTTAACATCTAGGGAAAGACAGAAAGGAGGCAAACCTCTGGCACCAGGTTGTGGCATTTCAAAAGTACTGCAAATAATACTGAGATAGGCAAGGAGCAGAACACTAGCTAGCATGTAATGGGAACAGGCTCTCTCCTGAGGCCTTCACACATATGATTTAATCCCAAAAGTGGTCCTATCAAGTAGGCACCAGTATTTCCTGATGTTACAGATGCAGAAACTGAGGTGAGAAGTGGCTGAGTCACTTGCCCCCAAATTCACATGGATAGTGAGTTTCTCCTTCTGTAGGCATGATAGAGACTTCCATTTATTTTCCTGTTTAACACAAAACAGAGATTTGAGTTATGCTCAGTGTGGGCTCAGTTTGGCTGGTGTTTTTGTGGTTAATGACAGAGACTCTCTCATTCCTGTCCCTGTAACACCAAAGAATGGCTGACAGTCCCCTTTTCTGGGACCATCCAAACAAATCATCTCTGTGGAAAACCAACGTGGGTTTCAGATCTAAATGAGAGGAACGTGTTATAATGGAGTGCCGTTTAGAACAATAAGCAAGCTTTGGTTTTTCTTTATGTGTCTACACTGTCTTTGTAATCTTGCATTTTTTTATTTTATTGTTCCTCAGGAAAAAGTCCTGAATTAAGTCTTATCTACACCCCATAGAACACAGAGTATAGGCCATAGAGTATAGTGTTGACATTTTTTTTTTAACAGAAAAAGATAACTTTCACACTATTCCAGCTGAATTCTTGTGTTTGCCTCAAGAAGACCCTGAGTCCCAAAGAGGTGAGGGGACTTGCCTGCGGTTGTCTCAGGCAGGGAGCAGAGCCAGGGTGCCTTCAGAAGTCCAGGGCAGAGGGCTTTTTAATCATGCTCTTATTTTTGGCTCGGAAAACCAGGTGTGCAACTTGATACCAGTCTCCATGCTCAGAAATGAATGAAACCAGTCTCTTTTCTTTGGTTTTCAGTGGAATTTTGCTCTAAAAATTGTACCTTCTTATTTTTTGCTTAGTTACATTGGAAGTAAAAAAGAGGAAGGTATGCAAAGGATGAAGATGAGTATTGTTAGTATGGAAGAGTCTTAAAAAGAAGGTTTAAGCAGTCATTTTATTTGCTCTCTCTCCTGAGAGACAGGTTGAAAGTACAACAACCTATCTGGTACTTAAAGATCTACAGAGAAGGAACAGATTCTGCCTCCAATGAGCTGCCACTTCATAATGCTTATAGTCAGGAAATTCTTCCTCACTGCTAGCCCAAACCTCTAAGTTTTTGTAACTTAATTCTACTGTCTTTTATTTGTTGCACAAAATTAATAAAACTAAGAGTCAACACTTGCTGAGAGGCCACCATGTGCAAAATGCTTTACATAATTCATGTATTATAAAGGGAACATAGTAGTTAGGGCTAGGGCTCTGGACTCTGAAGTTTATGGTCAAATCTCAAGTCTGTCACTTACCAGCTGTCGGATGTTGAACAAGTTCCTTGATCAGTCCATGCCTTAGTTTTGTGCATCTACACAATAGGTCAAAAAGTGGTTCCTTCCTCATAGGGCTGTTGTAATGATTAAAATAGTTAACATGGCCAGGCACTGTGGTCGTGCCTGTAATCCCAGCACTTTGGGAGGCCGAGGCGGGCAAACCACCTGAGCTCAGGAGTTCAAGGCCAGTTTGGCCAACATGGTGAAACCCCATCTCTACTAAAAATACAAAACTTAGCTGGGTGGTGGCGCATGCCTATAATCCCAGGTACTCAGGAGGCTGAGGCAGAAGAATTGGTTGAACCCGGGAGGCGGAGGTTGCAGTGAGCCAAGATCCCGCCACTGCACTCCAGCCTGGGTGACAAGAGAGAAACTCCGTCTCATAAAAAAAAAGGTAACGCACGTAGGGTGCTTAGAACAAGCAATGTTAGCTGTCGTTATGATCTCATTTAATTCTCACTATAGTTCATAAAATAGTCATTATCATCAACATCCATATTTTGTGTATAAGAAAATCAGAACATGAAGACGTTGAGTTACCCAAGGACATAACACTTATAAAGGAGAAGCCGGGACCATGAACTCAGAAAGTGAGGACTCAGGTCCATTATCTTCTACATGTCTTCCTTGGGTGGGTGGGCTAGACTCAGGGCAGGGGCACCCTGTGGGCAAGAGCCGTTGCCACTGTGAAGAGTCAGCACCCAAAGCTGTCTTTCCTCCAGGCCTCATGACCCAGGGAGAGTGGTCTGCTCTTCATAAGGAGTGACTCTCAGTCCCTTCCTGGTATCTGGAGTCCTTCTCTAGACTCCGCTTCACCCCCCGCCAGGCTCCTTCATTGTGCATAAGAGGGGCACAGGTAGATTTGGAGGCACACGGTCCTGGCCTAACTCCCACCTCTGCCACTGGCTTGTGGTCCAATTTAAGCACACTGTGTGAGCTCTTTGTGTCTCAGTTTCCTCATCCGTGTAGAGATAATTATCCTCTGTCTTGACTTTGTGAAGATTAAATGTGGCTAGCACAAACAGACCCTCAGCCAATGATCTTTTTATTTTCCCTGCATGAGAAACCCAAGGTGTCCTCAACTGTAAACCAAAACCTCTTTCCAGCCAAGCACAGGTGATAAGTGGTCATTTTTACAGTTATTCTTTGATCACGTTGCTCACCGTTTGAGCTGAAATCGTCCACCAAGATGATTTCCTTCAACAATCGAGAGGGTGTCCGGTTGATGATACTGGTGATGGCCCGTTGTATAATGGACAGAGCTTCATTCATGAATATGAGAATGACACTGAGGGATGGGAGTTGGGAAGGATATGTCTTCTGAAGACATCTAGAAGAGATCATTTTTATAACATATTATTTTTTTAATTACTTAAACATTGCTATCCCATCTTTCCTTTCACTCTGTATGATGTTATATCGACCAATTCATCCACCCCTCAAACTCACTGAAAAGCAAAACTCTTATCACAGTAGCTTATCACAGTAGCAAGATTTTATATTCGTTTATCCAAAATTCTCCTGTTATGGGGATAAAATCTTTTTTTATTAATCTTTACCAGATGTTTCCATTTGAACATTCAACATACTTCAAAAGGAATTCCCATTCCTCTTCTACACCCGGATTTGTTTCCTTGCTGGCAGCCTTCTTCCAGTCATTGCCACAGCCCTTTTCCCATGTTCTCAGACCCCAGTCACCTTTGACACACCCTCTACTTCACCACCAGACACAGGTGGCAAACTAGCCTGTATTTACTAAATGCTTACCATATGCTAGGCACTGGTTTACCCTTTTTATAGCTTCATTGGGGTTAAATTGATATACAAAAACTGCAGATACACATGCACCCACAATATCGTAATCAAGGTAATAAATGTATCTATCAGCTCCAAAAGTTTTTTTCTATATGTTTGCCCATTTTTAGTTTGGTATTGAGTTTTGTAAGCATTCTTTATATATTCTAGACTTCTTATCAGACATATGGTTTGCAAATATTTTCCCCCACTCCATGGGCAGTCTTTTCACTTTCTTGATGGTGTTATTTCAGGAAAAAACAAAGTTAGTTTTGATAAAGTTCAACTTTTCAATCTTGTTTCACCTATGCTTTTGGTGTCATACCTAAGAAACTCTTGCCGACCCCTATCGCCCAAGATTTGCTGTCATTTTTTTCTAAGTGTTTTATAGTTTTATCTCTTATATTTACATCTATGACCACTTTGTGTTAATATTTGTATATGGTGTGATGAGGGGTCCAACTTTATTATTTTGCATCTAGATATCCACTTGTCTCAGCACCCATTTGTTGAACAGACTATTCTCTCTCCCATTGCATTGTCTTGGCACCCCTGTCAAGAATCGGTTGATCATAAATTTAAGTGTATATTTTTCCCCCATGTAAAAGGATAGAGGGAGCTAAAGTTGGGTATTTTCATTCCACCATGGAGAAAGCTAAAGCAGGTTGGAGCTGATTGTTCCCCTTCTCCCAGGTAAGTTAGTGCCTTAGTCCATTTTGTGCGGCTATAACAGTATACCTGGGACTGGGTAACTTAATAATGAACAGAAATTTATTGGCTCCTGGTTCTGGAGGTGAGTAAGTCTAATATCAAGGTGCCGGCCTCTGGTGAGGGGCTTCATGCTACATTATAACATGGCAGAAGGTATCCCATGGCAGAAAGAGCAAAGAGAGGATGAAAAGAACAAGAGTCCAGTCCCACGACAACAAACCCCCTCTCATGATAATGACGGGGTAAGAGCATTCGCCCATTCACCAGAGCAGAGCCCTCATGACCTAAACACTTCTTCAGGGTCCCACCTCCCAATACTGTCGCAACGGCAAATACATTTTCACATGAGTTTCAGAGAAGACAAACATTCAAACCACAGCAGTTAGGCTATCATACAACTCCAGCAGGTTGGGCTCTGGTAAAATAGTTTCTCTTTCGGGCAGACCTTGTTAAGAAGAACAGAATAATCTGGCATATTTCAAAATGATTTCTTTTTCACCTCTTCCCTTCTCCCTCCCAGAGGCAGGAGGAGATTTTTCTCTGATATTTACTGAGGATCTGGTAGAGGTCTGGGGGGTAAAATGTACACAAGTGTAGGAGCCCCTATGACTGGGTCTCCCCGAGTGTTTAATTCTCAGACTTGTCCACAATTCATCAATTTACAGTTCAGGTTTTCCTATCCTCGCACTGGTTCCCATGGTTTCTGCTCTGGTAAAGTTGTGATTCTCTGTATTTACCCGTCTGTCTGTCCAATTTTGGGGGCAGCAGTTTGCCCTGCAAGGTCACTTCCCTATAAGAGCTGAGAAGAGTTTATTTTTCCATTTTTTCAGCTTTTTACTTGCTGTTAGGATACAGTGGGGACTTCTAAGCTCCTTAAAAGCCAGACCAGAAAATGAAAGTCAAACTCTTCATTTTTATTATTGTACTTTTCAGTTTTAGAATGATCATTTGGCACCTTTTTATAAGTCTTTATTGATAGTTTCTATTTGATGAGACGTTGTCATTATACCTTCCTTTAATGCTTTAGACATGGCTAACTTTAGTTCTTTGAATATATGTACAATGATGTCTTTGAAGTCATTATCAGGTAAGTCCAATATTTGGGCCCCTTCTAAAGTTTGTTGCTTTGTTTTCACTTGTGCACCAGTTACTACCCTTTCCTGTATCTTTGTATGTCTCATAATTTCTTGTTAAAAACGTATCATTTTAGACAAAGTATCTAGTAACTCTGTATATAACCCAGGAGTAAATGGGTAAATGTCATTGTAATTTGCTTGGTTGTTTATTTATTCAATCGGTAACTTAGTTAAACTAATTTGCAAGGTCTACAAAATCTATTTCTCCTGCAGTGTTCAGCCTTTAATGCTCATGATCTTGATCTTCTTTTTTTTTTTCTTCTTGTTTTTCTCTTTTAGCCTGGCTACCTAGGGGCTGCTTCTGGGTCATCATAAGCCACTTACTCATCAGCGATTGGATTTAAAGCTCCTTGGTTGATTAGATTCCTGAACATAGGTGGCATGGAGGCTGCGATCACAGTTCAGGGAGTTTACATTTTGACCTACATACTGGTAGCTTGGATTTTTTTCTGTGATAACTCCTGAGAGAGCACAGCCTTAGGTATGCACACAGTCTTCCAGATTCCCAGGGATGCGCATGATTTTATTTTTAACCCTGGCTTCCTAGTTGTTGCCTCTGAGTCAGAGCAGTTTACTGTTCAAGCAGTATTTGTTCAGAGGTTGGGCTTCAGCCCCTAGTGCCGGTGAGGATTCAGCCGTTTGCTGATGGATCTGTGTTCTGGTTGGCAAATAATTTTCAGTCTTCCCCTCATTCAACTCTTGCTGTTCCTGAGCAGGTTCAGCCTGGGGCTTGCACACAAACTTCTAGACAACCCAGAGATAAGTGTGATCCAAGGAGGGCTCTTCTTGGCAATCGTTTTCCCTGATTCTTCCTGTTAAATTTCTGGCTGTTCTGCCATTTTGCTTGTTGCCACCAGTATTATGGAGCTATGAGCATACGTTTTAATTTTCTCTACCAAGATCTCTATTGCTTCAAACAATATCATTGGGCTGGACTTCTTTATCCTCTGTTCTAAATAAGGTCAGTCCCTTAAACATAGCTAGGGAGGTTTTCATCCTGCCTTTCCTCCTGAATAGAACTTCTGCACCACTGCACAGGGGCTGGAGGTGGAGACAGAAGCCCTTCTAGAATGACACCTTGCTCTACAGGTAGACGTGCACTGGGGGAAAGGAGGTGGTGGCCCCTGGAGCTCCTGGTCTTCCTAGCTTGTGCATTCTGGTATGGAAGTTCCACTCTGACAGCAAGTTGGAGAAGCAGCAACTGGAGCCCAGTGTTCTTGGACTCCTGCACGTGGAGTTGAAATTTCACCCTATGAGTAGAGGTAAAATAAAAGAAGGGAGTCACAACTGTCTCCCTCAATCACCTTCACTAGGAATACAACTTTTGCATTCCTAGTGGAGGAAGGAGAAGGTGTGAAATGTGGGTGGCCTGCCCTTCCTGGGGTGATACCAAGGACCTATGTATGCCAGGACCTGCAGGGACAGGGAGCCCCCTTCTTGACCACAGCCACCAGAGCAGACAACCTTGTGAAGTTTCCATAAGACAGAGCTGAGGGTGGATTGGGGGAACAAGTCATGGCTCCAATGCCACAGACTCCTGCTGTTCTGAAGGATATTTAGTAGATTTTCTTGAAAGAATGTTTTTCCATTTGCATATTTCCTTAGAACAGTTTGTTAAAAAATTTAAATAATTATGATTTTTTTCCAGTTAAATAGTTGTTTTGCTAGGGAAAGAAAATGTTGCACTCAACACTTTGCCATTCTGGAAGGAAGCCTCAATCCACACATTTTTTAAAGACTTAAAGTAGTTGCCAACCTACAAAACCAGATTTCTTGTCTCTTTGACAAAGCAAATATTTATCTCACTGCAACCACTTCTCCGGGACATAGCCCCTGCTCTGTCCAGAACCGGGGTTGCTGCAGTTACTCACAGTGTAGCTCACTGTTCACCCATTCACCATCGCCCTCACCCAAAATGCTCACAACATGTATGTTGGCAGGCATTTGAATTGCAGCCTCTGAAATTGCAAGGGGATTTTGGGCAAAAGCCAAAATGCAGATGAATGCCAGCGACACAAAAGAGCACACACTCCTTGGAGAACTGCCCTGCTTAGTAGTAGTGCCAAGAGATATGAGGATGGACATATCAGAAGGACTGGACATTGGAAGCTAGGAAGATTGGACTTTATCCTAGAAGGACTAAAGGATTTTAAGCAAAGAATTGGTATGATCAAATTAACATTTTAAAGAAACCATTCTGGCTGCCATGAAGACAACAGAAGGTAATCAGCCACATGTGGACGCCACAATACAGGTGGGAAGGTATGAAGACCTCACCTGAGGCCTACCCTGGAGAAAGAAAGGAGCGAGAGAAAGATACTTTCAATCTGATTTCCCCGTCTCACTCATTACTCAAAGGTGGTGGGCAGGTGGAAGTGGAAGGGGCAATACTAGATCACAAAAAAATGATCAGATACTAACAATACCCACACACAAATCACTTGGGGATCTTGTTAAAGTACAGACTGTCATCAGGAGGTCGGAGCGGGGTCTGAGATCCTGAATTTCTTCCAGGCTCCCAAGTGATACCAATGCTGTAAGAGGGTGGTACAGTAAATAAGAGCAGGAGCAGAGTCTCCAGAAAGACCTGTATTCACTCGAGTCACAGCCACCACTTTCTATCTGCATCATCTTTTTGTGCTTCTCTTCCTTTCCTTATTTATAAGACGGTGAGGGTGGTGGTGGTTAG